AAAGTCCGCTCTGGTGTTTTAATCAGCTGCTGGTTGTTTCCTGGTCGCTTCAGCAAATCTCTGCTCTGGGTTTTCCACCAACCACAAAGCAAAACAAAGGAAGTGAGCCGCCACTTTCAGCGTCCCGGAGCTTTTCCTTCATTTACTACATTACAGATAAGCTGCCGATTGGCTGCTTCGACTTACTGCACCGAGCCAGAGTTGTGCATCCTGCTCTGTTCCTGGGATGAACTCCTAAACCTGTAAATTATTCCAACACCGCGTCCCTACATGAGGTTGCCCATGCACCGTCCACCAGCAAAGTTCGCTCGACGGCTTCGTTTTTTGGCGTTCTCCATCGAGTCCCGGCCCATAAGGAAGGAAGTAAACGCGCTGAACCTTCTGAAAGCGCCACAGCTGAATAACCTGACGGAGGCGGGGCGGGGAGTTGAGTGGATGAAAACAAAGAGCCGAGCATCTGCACCGTTTCTATTTTATGAACTATTTCACCTCATTTAAGGGATCTGTGTTTAATGTTTTGGCTCCTCAAACAGGAACCTCCCAACGTCTGCGATGAAGAAAGTGTATTTGATGTAATAATCACTTATATGGAGCCTTTAGGTCAGGGGTGTCCAACTCCAGGCCTCGAGGGCCGGTGTCCTGCAGGTGTTAGATCTGACCCTGGGTCAGCACACCTGAATGGAGAACTACAGGACATGTTGAGGAGGTCCTTTAGGGTGGCTGTAGCTCAGGTGGCAGAGCAGGTCAGCCACTAATCAGAAGGTCGGTGGTTCGATCCCAGGCTGCCTCCTGGCTGCATGCCAAATATCCTTGGGCAAGATACTAACCCCGTGTTTGCCTACTGGTGGTGGTCAGAGGGCCCGGTGGCGCCAGTGTCCGGCAGCCTCGCCTCTGTCAGTGCGCCCCAGGGCAGCTGTGGCTACAATGTAGCTGCCATCACCAGTGTGTGAATGTGTGTGCGAATGGGTGGATGACTGAATGTAGTGTAAAGCGCTTTGGGGTCCTTAGGGACTAGAAAAGCGCTATACAAATGCAGGCCATTTACCATTTACTTTAACCATTTGAATCACCTGTGATAGATCAAGGACGCATCTAAAACCTGCAGGGACACCGGCCCTCGAGGCCTGGAGTTGCCCACCCCTGCTTTAGGTGGTCCTACCAACCGGCTACCAACGTGATCCAGAACTTTAACCTCCAACAGCCCTTTGAGCACAAGTGTGACGACCCCCCCTCCCTGTGGACAATGTCCACAGACAGGAGCTCGCTGCAGCTGCAGGCTCAGGGCTGGAACAATCACTCACTTACTTTTGTGGCAGGTGTGTCGAGCCGCCCCCCGCAGGCCTTACAGGTGTGTTCAGGTGGAGGAGACGGCTGGCTGGTGAAGGCCGAGTTGGTGTAGGACTGATGACGTCTGTCGCTTCGAGTGGGCTGATCCGCATTGGCTGTGTCCATACAGAGCCAGTTACAGCAGGACGCAAACATGGCTGACACACACACGCGCACACACAGAAAGACACGGGTTTATGGAGTTAAAAACACGTTCCTCTGAGTCCTTCACAATAAAAGCCTTTAATTTAAACCAGTTTGGCTTCATTTGCTCTTTTCGGCTCGATTATATGAACATTTTCCTTCTGCAGTGGGACACAAACAGCGGTGTGGTGTGTATGCAAACACACAACGATCCTGACTAAGGATCAGTAGCTTGTTGCAGGTCTGTGTCACAGAGCAGCTCCGACTTTTCCAGGTTTTCTCTTCTTCTCTGTTCGCTGGACGGACAAAACGGAAAACTGCAGAGCACGCATCACGATGGAGCTATCAAACTTCCCTGTTAAAACACTCTGGCTCTGAGCATGCTCACACGAGAGCAGTGATGAAGCGCCACTACTCAAATCACATACAGTGTTAGCGGGACGGAGATCAATAAAGATGATAAAATGATGAAGTGTGACGCGTGGAAGACAAAAATGATTGACCAGACTGAGCTCGTACCGAAACATACACGGCCGCTCGTACACCTCTTCAACCGCTCCTCAACACAAGTATCTTATCAGCCAATCACACGACAGGAGCTCCGTGCATTTAGACACATGGATCAGAGTGTTTCAGAAACTGCTGCAGTGCTGGGAGTTTCCCACACTGCCATCTCTGAGTTTACCGAGAATGTGAGAAAAGGTCCCGTGAGAGGCAGCTCTCTGGGAGACAATAGACAGTCTGCTTCAAGCTGAGAGCGAGGCAACAGGAACTCAAATGACCAACCCCAGTATGCTGACCCTCAGGTGCCACACCTGCCAGCTGTGAACAACAAACTGAAACCGCCAAACGACAATAGAAGATGGAAAAATGCTGCCTGGTCTGAAGCTCAGTTTCTGCTGCCCCAGTCTAACAGCATGAAAGCGTGGATCCTGCCTATATCAGGCTGATGGTGGCGTGACGGCGAGGGCGAGCTTTGAATGCCACAGCCCACCTGAGCATGTTACACCGAACCTCGCCGGCTCCAGTCCAGTTTGTGCTCAGCATCAGTTACCATGGTGATCCAATAGGTATTAAGACAGTCGCTGTGACTAAGTTCAACACAGCTCACCAACTCAATGATCTCTCTCTGCATTCTCAGCATGTTATTGAACGCTAACTTCAGATTAGATGCTTGCTGCTCAGGCAGTTCTTCTATATCATGTGAAATATTTGAAAACTTTGATTTTTAAAGTTTCACGTGACAAAGAAGAACTAAAATGAAAGTAAACACTTTAAACAGTAAAAACTGAAGTGAAACCACAAAGTCACGTCTGGAAACAAAAAGAAAAATTAAAATTTCACCTAAATTGTAAACAGTCGCTTTTATAAAGCAGCTGAACCTGTCAGTGCTGCCCTCATCAACCCTCCACAGCTTTCGTCACCTTATCTTTAATCACTGATTGTTTCTGGTCATTTCAACAATTTCCCCATTTGCCAGACTCCATAAGAAAAACTGATGTTTCTTTCGCGTAGCGCTCGATAATAAGGTTGTATACTAAAAACTGCTCGCTGTTCTTGTTCTCATCAACTCTGCTTCACGTTTCACAGAACTGGATTCTTACTTTACAAACATGACTCATATTTGTCTCCATAACAAACAGCTTTAATCTCGCTTTATCCAAAGACACGTGACCACATTTTACTGGAACTTCTGATATTAAAGTCTGTTCAGTATTTTACGCTACAGGTTTGTTGTTGTCGTGAAATAAACACTGTAAATGGCCAAAACAACTTCGTTTTGCACACAGGTGACAGTTAGCCGAATTCCGTGAGAAAAATGGACGTTTGTGTCGCGTTTGTCGCCGACGTTAAAAAACCACTGTGGAAAAAGTGTTGAAATATTCCCGCTATAATGTTCTGATGAATTCGGCTTTATGTTTCATAAAGTTTCGAGATTCGTATTTAATAAATCATCAACACGGCACACAACTTGACTCCGACTAAACTTCATCGGTATTCAAGTTGGCGTGTCATTTAAATGAGCATTGTTTAATTATAACTGAGAGCCGAATGAGAAAACGTCTCCATATAAGTGGCGTGAAGTCCGAATTACTTTGTTCAGAGATGATTATACACTTACCGGTAACTCACGGGACTTTAAATCCGACGGTTTGTTAACGGAATCCGGCATGTTAAGTCCGGGAAGTACCCTCTGCTGCTAGGAGGCTAAAAACTATGCTAACGCTAGGCTGGTTAGAGAAGTTTGAAAAGAGCAAAGACTCAAAGAAACTCAGAGCAGGACAGAAGACAGTAGCTCGGACACTTAGACCGGGTTAACTGTCTCACTTTACGGGTTAACTGACAAATAGCCGGGTCGGTTACCGACGTAATGAGGCGTCTTACCTGTTGATGACAGGGTTGCTAGAGCTAGCAGATAGCTAACTCCCGGACAAGTTGATGGTAGTTAAGAAACACTAACCAGCAGCTGCTAGTTAGTTAAACAACATGACGACGACCTGAAGGAGGAAGTGAAGGAATAACAGGAGCACAGAGACACTGCGAGGGCTGAGACAACAACACAGCCAACCAGGAAGACTTCGGACGCACGCGCGCACACGCACGCACACACCGGAGGACGCCAGCATTTGTACTTAAGTGAATTTCAACTTTGACTTATTTATAATAGCAGAAACCGTTTTTGAACTTTTATTTTTTCGAGAACTTTATTTAAGTGTAACCTGATCGATTACCCTCAGACTTGGATGATTACCTGTGCTAACAGGCCCCGCCCACGGGTGGCGCTCAGTTTGACTGGATTACTGAGTTTAAAGGAAATAATTCCAAATGCGTTTAGGATGGTGTGAGTGTCATAAAATACACACATCTACCACAAAAAGGAGTAGATGTCAAACTCAAACTGAATGGACAGTAGACACACAGGTGAATGAAACCTGGAGAAACTCATTTAAAGCACCTGTATTTTCTCAGCCCCGCCCCTTTACCCCACAACAGCAAAATACATGTTACAGGTCAGAACTGAACCACCGGTTTAATGAGTGATGGAGTTTATTCTGCCTGGTTACAGATACATACATCATGTATGAGAAAGCGTGCTCCCCTTCTTTTTACCTGCACGTTTAACTTCTGATTCAAACGGGTTTTTCCTTACCGCTGTTGCCAAGTGCTTACTCAAGTCGTGAGATCGTTGGGGATTCTCTGTACTGTTGTAGTCTTTACTTTATAAAGGGCCCAGAGGCAACTGTAGCTGTGGTTTGGTGCTGCATGCATGCATAAATTAAATTGAGCTGAAGGCTGTTTCTCAGCAGCCTGCTGCTGGGTTTGGGAGAGAACCGGTTATTAATGTAGTGGAAGCTGAAGCCCGACTGATCAGAACCTGTGGACCAACATCGGTGAGTTCCTTGCAGTAGCCCCTCACTGATGTCAGCGGTTCCAATATTGGTCCCGGTCTTCAATCTGGCGGACATGAACAGAAATAGGAGCGCTGCTGGCTCAGCGAGGCCCCTGAGCTCCCGGAACAAACCCTTTACTCTCAGAGCCAACCTGCCACTTCATGCTGACGTCCAGTTATAGTACCGAGACCTTCCGGCTTTCTAAGCCTGTCCAGCGAGTTCAGTTTGTCCCACGTGACCAGACTGTAAATGAAACAGCTGAAGTCAGGATACCTTTAGAAATGAGTGAAACTGCTTTAGATGTTGAACAAACTTTCTAAGAGCCCTCCCACATCCACCAAGACCCTCAGCAAGGTCCTGCAGCGTCTCCGGAACCACCTCCAGCAGGTGTGTGATGATGTCACCTCTGAGCAACGACTGAAGGAGCTCCAACCAGCTGCTGGAGAGGTGTACCTGATGAAGTTGTAGACTGTGGTGATGTTTAACATTAACGCCGGTCACCGCAGCAGGAGCTGCTCGTCGGAGCGACACAGACATACAGAGGCAGAACAGAACCAGCTTTATTCTTTATTCTTCTTTCATTTGGAAGAAAAATAAAAATGTAATGAGGAATCAATGCCCCGCCTCCCCCACCCTGAAATTAAACACATTCGGGTTGGTATGAGGACAAAGATGAAGACAGTTTTATTGCGATAAACTCAAGGAAAGGAAAGTTCTAACAGTTGTTTATTCAGAAACGTTTCTGCATTTTACCTCCAAGAAAAAAAACAAACAAAAAAAACACATGATGTCAAAGCGACGCAGACCCACACCTGAAAGCTTTCACCTGGGCCGGGTTTACAGCCAGTTTCCTGTCGGGCCACAGAGAAACACACAGAAGTTACAGGTTCCAGACCAAAGCCCCATCTTTATTGTACACAATCAACTTTACAACAATTTATCGGTGGACGCTGGCGTCTGACCCACACTGAAACCACCAAACAGCACAAAAAAAAAGGAAAAAAAAAAAAAAAAAAGCTTTCGGTTTCTTCTGTTCTGTCGGCAATGCGGCGTGCTAGCGCCACCGTCTGGTTGGGATCTGTGGTGGCGGCTTTAAATGACTCAGTGCTGTAATCAAAGACAGATGGAAGGAGAAAAAAAGAAGGAAGAGATGAAAAAGGGGAGCAAAGGAAGGGAAAAATAAAAGTTAAGAAAAACACTTTGAACTTATTTTGTCCTCCCTGATTTTTATGAATGAAAATCGTCTCCCTGGATTCAAGGGACCGTTCAGTCCAGAACATTTTCACTGCTTTAGCTGCCGTCAGTGATTTAACCTCGCTCAGTGCGAGTACGACAGCGCTGCCATCATCTTTTACAAAGTACAGAGACTAACTGAGCTTCTCACAGATTTTGGAGGGTGGTGGGCCTGAACAGGAAACTTCAGAGCACATGGGACCGCCTGACGACATTAAAGCAGTAACAGTTCTGCACATATCCGGTTGTTCAGTGATGACGTGACGAATCCTACTTCCGGGCCTAAAGTAGTCTGCGTTTAATATGGCTTTTGTGTTGTTAACATGTTTAATGTTTTGTATTTTCTTTTATTTGATCTCAAAAAGCTCCTAAAACAGTCAGTGATCCCTGTTGACCTCCCTCGGCTTTTATTATCGCTAATCATTTATTTAAGCTCAGTTTTTAAAACCTTAGGATGTAACTACAGCCCAGCCCATGCAGCAGTATATGAATGACTAACCTCGTATTGTGGATGGATTATCTCAGTTGTTCTCCTGGCTGAAGTTTGGTCCTTTTACAGCATCCTGCCATGCGATTACATTTGTTCCTGACCACCGAGAACACTCACGTTAACTTTTATCGAGTGGAAAAAAAGTTAGCTTGTTTATATTATGCTAACATAGCTGTGTCGCTAGCGGTCACGTAGCACATCATTATATACCAGCTAGCCCAACTTCAGTAACCCTACAAACGTCACTGCTGTTTAGTTTCTGTCTTCATTTATGCTGGAAGTGATAGCAGAGCTGTACGTTTGAATTTGTTTCCAAAACCCCGCAGTCAGGACATGCTATATTGTATTTAGATAGAAGCTAGCGAGCTAACTCCCTGCTAACTTCTAACTCCGTTAAATGTCATAAATTCCGTTTTCATGGATGCCTGGATGTTAAACTCAATTGTTACACCTGGTAGAGCAGAACGCTGATCATTTTATTAAAGATGAAAGACTTTAGACAGTTTTTAACTCTCAGTAATGCCATAGTGATCGTTTGATATATGGACCTGCAGCGGAGTTTAGGCCCAGACACGGCTAGTGACGTCAGACTGAACAACCGGATAGTTTATGAAGTTTGAGAATACGCCTACACATTTAGTCTCAGTGAGCCTGTAAAAACCTGTAAACCAAACAAACGGAGACAGAATCAATAGAGACCGGGCTCAATGTCTTCACTTATTTCTGCTGTTGGTGGTCAAACTTCTCTTACAACATTTCCTTAACATTTTCACCAACATTAAATAAAAGCTGGTAGATTTTTTTTTCCTACAAAAATATGAAGCAGTTCCTGAGAGAACAGTTCATAATCATTCAACTCATAATAAGGCGAACGGTGACTCAGAGCTAATGTTTCAGGAAAAGTTAAAAATCAAATGGGAAGAGCTAAAAGAAAAAAAAGAAGAAAAAAAAAATAGATACAATTAAATTAAAAAATATATATAAAAGTTTTCAGTGTGGATCAACAGACCAATCAGAAAAGATTCCCTTCTGTGTGTTCAGTGTGGGAGGCATTGTTAAAGCTGATTGGACAGGACACTGCCACATCGCTGCAAACCCGACAGAACACAGCCAATCAGAGCCTTTTCAAACTGTGCTGCATTCAGGGTCTGTTCTTCCACAGTCATAAATCAGGAAAACTAGTAGGATTTAATGATTCCCGAGGAGCTGTCTCCTGCACCTGAATGCACCGTTTTTTGATTTTTCATGTAAAATTCTGCAGACAGTGAATGCAGCACCTGTCTGTGCTAGCAGAGCATCATGGGAACAGAAGTCTAAAGCTTTTTAGCAGTTTACTTATTTCATCAACTGGGTCTGCTGTGGACACCTGAGTGGGCGGAGCTTGCTGAGAGCCAGGCATTAAACCCCACCCACCCAGGACGACAAGCTGCTGTAACGCTAACCAAATCAACAAAAGACACCAAAGATTAAAACAACAAAACAACTAAAGTGGGGGACATTTTCAACCAATCAGAGTGAGGGGGCAGGGCTGTAGTTCAACAACTATAAAATACAAAAAAGAAACACTAAAAGACTTTACAGGTTTAACCTCCGAGCTTCTTTCTGTTGGAGTAAATGTGGGCAACCGTTGACCCAGAAGAGGATGGGGCGGGGCTACAGGACAAAGCAGGTATGACATCACAGAAAGCGGAGGTGGCGGTGAGGGGGCGGGGCAGAGAAACCCAAAGACAGAACATGCATTGACGAGCTGCTCGCCGTGTTGTGTTTACAGGTTTATTACTGATCAGAGTGTCAGAGTGCGATTCGTCTTTATTCCCACTAAGAATAAATATTCTGCTCAAACTGAACTCAAACAGGAAGAAGAAGAAGAAGAGGAGGAGGGCAGCGTCCGCTCGCTCGCTAGCTGGCCGTCTGTCAGGAAGGACTAACTGTGGCGTCTAAATCACCCCGTTTGGCGTTTCTTGGTTAAAGTTCGCTCTCGCCCCCCTAACCTCCCTCTCCCCCGCCCCCCTCCCTCCCTCCCTACGGCCGTGCGGCCTTCAGTCTCTTATGGTTTTTCTTTTGATATCACCTCCTCTCGCGGCTTCGCTCCGCCAAAGATGGCGGAGTTGGGGTTGGCGACCTGGTTGAGCGGCTCAGAGACGGTCCGAGGCTTCAGCTGCAGCCGAGGCCGCTGTGCACGCTCCTCTGCAACAGACACATAACAACAGACAGTCAGTGCACGCCGGGGGAACTTCCTGTTTTTAAATCAACAGACATTTTACTTCCAGTTAGGACAAATCTCAACTGGGGGCTTTTTTCCAGAGAAGCATTTCTATAACAAGCAGGAAACACTCTTCTTTCTAACCCCTGTGTGGGACACCAGGAGGAAGCAAAGCAGGCCACCAGGGGGAGCCTCTAGAAACACAGGTATGTGCACATGCTGTGCTGATGTCACGCTGCTGTGTTCTCAGCTCAGCGTGTCAGGTGTATGCCTCACTGGCTAATTGGATGATCATCCGCTCAGGATTCTGATACTGCGATGACCCTTCCTACTCTCTCTGCTATCCTTCCTCTTCCTGGATTTGTGCGACAGGCGGGTCCTAAGACGTACACACCTGTTAGCACCCGGCTAATTGTTTTCTATGTATTATCTGTGTCACAGTCACTGCTGATACAGCGCTGCCATATTTTACCAAACCTAATCCACCTGTGTCAGAGCGTTGCTGAAAAAAAAACAAAGCAGGAAGTCATGTCACCTTCAGACGGTTCCCTGAAGTCTGTCGTTCCTCCGCGTGGGGGTCCGTCTCTGTAGCGACCCATCCCTGCACCTCCACCCCTTCTGTCACTAGGGCGACTGCCACCGCCTCGACTCCGCCCCCCCATGTAGTCATCATCTCTAAAACCTGCAGAAAGACAGGTGAGCAGACAGACGCGCACACAGGTGAGTGTTCAGATAGACGGCCACAGGCGCCCTGAAAGAGTCCAGACCTGGAAATGAATATGAGATGGTTGAGGTGAAGGGCATGATGGGGGAAAAACAGGGTGTGTCCAGCAGCTTCAGGAGGCGGAGCCAGACACTAGTTACCACTTCCTGTTTGGTGTGTTAGCCTCTAACGTTAGTCTCCCTTGCTGGTCAATCATGCCTCACCACCAGAACAATAATCAGAATATGGCCTCACATCATATATGTAAACAGAGAGCAGTGCACGTCTGCCGTCTAAATATTACTTCGATTAGTTTTACTGCTTTAAAAAAGTTTGGAGGCCGAGGAAATTTTCCTGCCGTCCCATTGGCTAGAACCCAGCTGGCAGTGCCCTGATTGGCCGCTGGAACGCGATGCTGTCCAACCTGAGCTGCTGAACTCTTTGACCGCACCTCCTCCTGGCTGGTCGAAGTCCTCACGGGAGTCGCGTCCTCCTCCTCCTCCTCCTCTGGGAGCGCCTCGAGAGCCTCCTCGTCCTGCAGAGGACACGGGGCAGTTTAACACTGAGGGGGGAGGGGGAGGAGGAAAGAAAACAGAGGAGGTGGCAGCACCTCCTGCTGGGAGGGGCTACACTAGAGAGGCGAAGCTTGTTAGTGGTCCATGAGCCAATCGGAGTTAGAGAGAAGCAGCAGCGCTCTGAACACTGAAGAAGGTGAAAGGTCAGCAGGAGGAGACGTCAGGTGGCCTCCACCTACCTGCAGGTGACTACGAACAGCAGGGAGGTGAAAGGAAAAGGGGAGGTGTCTGTGGAGGTGAGGATGAAGAAATGAAGCATGAAAGATGAAGAGTCCTCCTCAGAGTCACAGGGCAACATCAAACATGCTTCGTCTGCGTTTCCTTGAAGGCTGGACTTAAATCTGAATCAGATTCAACCGGCGCCCGCCTCCAGCACGTGTCAGGACCTCTCCCCTCTTTTCCTAAGCCCTCATCACTTATCCTAATCACCTTTTCTTGGCCTTGATCAAGGAAACATGGTTAGGAACAGGAGCCAGGAGGTCTTCTTGTATCAGGGAGGTCCCAGCACCACGTGACCTCCCTGATACATTACAGTTTGGGGCGTGTCGCGAGCAGGCCCCGCCTCCCATTGGTTAAAATGTTCAACTTTATTCATAAAGCGCCAACAAACACTTGAAGCTTCTACTAACGTCTGCTGGAGCTATCGTTTGGGTACGGGCGCCGTTGAGCGGGGATGCCCTGTCCTGCGTCCTTAACTGACCAATCAGCACAGACTAGCAGAACACTGATGATTTATGGGCAACTCAGCTGCAGAAAAATGTTTTGGTAAAGAATTTGGTGAAAACTATTTTAGCCGTCTTTTGCTCCAGGTCACTGAGGAGCACCTCAGAGCTTTCCCGTTTCGAAACGCACGCCTGATTTTCTCTGGGATCTAACTCCAGCCTGGAAACCTTCCTACCACGTTAGCACTCTTCTTCTCTGCTCGTACCTCTGCCGTCGTCTTTCCTGAAGCCAAAGCCGCCCGCTCCTCGTTCTTGTCTTCGTCCCTCTGCGATGTCCACCCTCAGTGACCTTTCACCTAATAACTGCAGGTCAGAGTTCCTGTCAGACAAGACAGCAGCGTGGCAGAACCAGAAAACGTCGGGTTTATTAAATCAGATACTCACGGCGCCGTCGTATGTCAAAGCTTCTTTTAGAGATTCCAAATCGTCAAATTCAACATAACAAAAACCTGAAAGAGACGCAAACAGTCAGACAGGAAGTTTCACCCGAGGCAAACTTCATCATCCCCGACACCCACACCCCCTCCGAACCTTTGAACTTGTCTGTCTCTTTGTCTCTGACCAATCGGACGCTGCGGATGTTGAGCTCTTTGAAGATGATGTCGATGTCTCCCTGCACCGTGTTGAACGGCAGGTTTCCCACGTACGCCGTGAACGGAGGCTCTGTCGGCAGCTCCTTCTGCTTCCTGGGGCCTCCGGAACCGCTGCCGCCACGGGGCCTGATGGGAGGGGGGACAGAGGATCGTCAGACAGGGACACAAGTAAAGAGGATTGTGGGATGTAGAGGTCAGACTGGACCAGAGTTAAAGACAACAACTCTCCACACATTAAGCTCACTGGTCTTCCAAACTGGGAGTGCTCGCTTTGGAGTCTAAACAGGAAATGGCGGGGACAGAAAGACCTAAAAGCTGCAATCGGCCCCGTGATGCGTTCCCAATGACTTTATGAGCTCGGTCGCTCGTTCACGGCCGTTTTGTGAAACGGAATGAGAGCCTGACCAATCAGACGATGCTGTTGGACGATACTGGCTCTCTGTCGATCTTATTAATGAAAATGATCAATAAATGAAGATTTTAAAAAAAGAGACAAACAAGTAAATAAATTACTACACATAACGAATGTTGGAAATCTGTCTGAAAGGAAAAACCATCAGCTGATATCCAAATGCTGTAGTTTGATGAACGATCAGAAATAATCTCACAATCTGCCAGAGCTAAACTTTACATTTTACATGAGTTTTTTTAAACATTTCAAGTTGCTATGCATCAGTACAACCCTTATATGTCAAACTTTAATAATTTGTCTGTAAAATGGCCACAGTAATTACATACATTATTTAATAAGCGGAATAAGCCAATAAGAAATATCAAAATTGTAAGAAAGAAAAGTTGCACACAATAGTTTCCAACCACAGGAAATGTATTTTGAGTCTTCAGAATTTCATTTGTGAGACTCATTTTTATAAACTGGAGCAAAATGACAAACAAAGCATCAAAATAAACCGTTTCCAGTATTCCAGCTTTGACAGGCTTTGGAGGAGGAAAAAAACTACAGTTCCTGCAAAAATGACATCACTTCCTGTTTTCACAGCTAAAGGCACACTGAAACCACACAATAGTTGATGCTCACAAGGTTATGACGTATGCTCCAACGTAGGAAGTGCAAAGAACAGCTGATCAGATCACAAATCGTGCGTCTGGAGCGGTTTTTGTGATTTCTGCAAACCCGTTAATGGAAGCAAACAGCGGTCTGGGAGATGTTGAATGTGTGATACGTAAGTGCACATCTCTAGTTTTATATCCATTTATAGGAATTATTGCTCTAACTTATCATTATAACGAGTAAATCTGCAGATTTCCACCAACTGAACAACAAAAATAAATAAATAATCATAATTGGAATTTATGACGCTTTGAAGGTTGGGAGTGGTGTGTTTACGATGCCAGTAAATCTGTGTCCTGTTGTTCTTATCAGGTAAAAAGACGTTTTTTCCATCTGCTTGACATGCTGCCGTGCACCCGTCAGTGTAGATCTGCGTTTCAGAGCAGCTGGTTTAACCCTCTGTAGCTGCTCAAACTTTGAAACAATTATAAACTACAAACCGGACTCAAAACTCTGAGCCACTTGGTTATCGCTCTGCTGTGTGCTGCTCCACCTGCTCCTGGATCACTGATGGAGGTCTGATGAAGCAGGAACACAGCCAGAGGAGCTTCGGCCATGCAGCTTGGGGTTAAAATGTAGGAGCTGAGCAGCGCGTCAGCCTGCTCTACATGAACAAAGTCAGCCAGCTTGGCTCCTGCTCGCTGCTATTTGGAGTTGATTTGCATCCATCGCTGACCGGTTGTTGTTGCTATGATACAAACGCGCAGCTAAAATCAGGTGTTGCATATAAAACATGCTGGCAAAGGAAAAGTACCGGCACTGTGTTGTGGTTTGATCAAACTGAGGCTTTCTCAGACTGTTTGGCCTGACCATAGATGGACCGCCCACCCCCACAGGCCCACTCTCAGCCTCCAGCACTCGTCCTAACACAGCAACTTCAAACTGAGTGCTGCAACACTTTATACTATGCAGCCACCACAAAAATCCCTCAACATGAGCGATGACCTGACGACCTTTGGCCAGTAATAAAGGATTTCAGACAGGGTTCCCCTGTGAAGCTGAAACAGACCCTCACTGAGGAGCAGTTTTCTCACAGTGTTTCCACATTCACAAGTCAAAAGTGTTACCTCAAACTGCCTGCAGGAGTCGTTTAAACTGAAGCAAAAATTTGTGCTGCTCCCACACACCACCTTTTCTTCTTAAACACAGTAACAGCAGAGAAACTGATGAAGCTTTAACTGACTTGTTGGAGGCTTTGTTACAGGCTGCCAGCAGCAGCATCTCCCTGTAGCAGGAATGCCAGTCGCATGCAGAACTCCACAGCTTCTACTAGCTTTGGCTTTAAAATAAATGGGATATCTGGGAAACTGGGACTCGTTTTCACAGACACAGACTTATTATAAACAACAAATCTATTAATAGATGTTTGGTTCTTATAGATTATGTTGAGCTTCTTTACGAACCAGTAAAATTCTGACCTACTGACATGGAGCCAGCTGCTAAACTCTTGAAGCAACAGTCTGGATTCAGATCTGAAATCAGCCGTCTAGCACCCTCAAACAAAGCTTCATGCAATCACAGTCTGCTCTGCCTCATTTTGGAGCCATCAGGAGATCATCTTAAAAAGAGTTATACATAAATTTTTCACTTATATTGCAAGAAATCCCCACAAACAGAGGTCCAATAACGTTCAGGACAGCGGTGCAGAGTGACTAGAAGAACAATCAAGACAACATCTGGAGCTCTGCTCCCTCCCTGCAGGACTACAGCGCCCCCCACTGTTTCAAACACAGACAGGCTTCAACATGTGCCGACATGGATCTCAGTGCTCTAAGAAGATGCTCAAGCAGAAGTTAGCACAGTTTGATTTACCAGACATTACCTTCACACAGTTTAGTCTGGTTTCTGTTTTATGTATTGTCTTTGCAGGGCTCAGCCACTCAATCAGCCCAGACTCCTTCAAACTCTACAGCCCACCCTGCTCCAATGGAAGCATGCAATGAGGGGAATTCCCTCCACTCCTAAAATATATGTTCAGCCCCAACGTTTATCCCCTCTCATCAGATTCAGCTCCTGACAGAACAACTGATGAAGAAAAGCAGCCCTTTAACTCTTCATCATTCTCTAAACTTTGATTAAAATTTGGTTTGGTGCTCCCGAAGAAACAGAAATAAAGATTAATTGCTGAAACAATTAATCGACCAAAAATTAATCTCAGCAAACTTTCGGCAAAAAAAACCCTGTTTTCTATTAATTCGTTCACTAAGTCTGTGATAAAGGAGAGAACATCAGTCCGATCTTCTCACAGGTGACTCCTGCCTGTACTGATGTTAAAGCTTTGTGTGCTGCAGACATCCTGAAGCCCCCTCCCTCCAGGAAAAAAAATCACTTTTTTAAAAATCGTTTATCAGCAATCAGATAACAACACGCAGTGCCACAGAGCGTAAAACAGCCGCTAACCTGACGGTAAGCGCACCTACCGGCTCTAACCGACTCCCACCCTCAGCTCTGACTGCGACGTGGATGGATGTGCAGCAGGGGACACATGATGCAGCCATGCGGGCAGCCTGCAGCTCCGCCACCGCCTCCACCTAAACCTGCTGCGGCCTCCTTCCCCACCACTCGCCTCCACCGCCTCAAAGCCACACGCGCTGAGTGGGTATCTGTACCGCCAAGCTGCGGGACGATCCACGCCACACTGGAGAGCCTGTTCTTACTGTCTACATCTAGCTAGCCGCTTGCTAACTGTTAGCATGTCAGCTACGAGACCGCGGTGTTTCCCGGCTGATATCTCCGGGATACCCTCATGCCTGCTCGGCCTGTTCAGTAACCGCGGGGCGTGTCGAGCTTCGGGGCCTACACAGCCTGCTCCCCTGACTCGGGGCGGACAGCAGCGGGAAACACGGCGACGGTCCGGTCGAGTTTGCTCTTCGGGGACACAACAAAGCTGCCGTGCACGGCGGAAACTCACCCTCGGCCGCCGCCGAAGCTGCCGTAGGCCCGGTCCCGTTCATCGTAGTTGTCGTAGTCCGCCATTACTGCTGCTTGTGTGTTGGAGGAGGAGGTCCTACACGTCACACACACAGCGGGTTTAGCTGCCCGCAGAGCGCCTGACCGGTAATATCACACACTAACTTCTTTTTTACTAATTATGTTTTTTTAATTCAGTTTGAAAAGAAATATTTATAATATAAGCAATGAAAACACAGCACGAACGTGAAGAACACACGAAACTATATGGAATTGTTAAAATAAATACAAAGTAAACAATAGTAACAGTTGTTAAAATGTCATAATCCTGAAGCCAATAAAAGTTTGGCCCGTTGTTGCCTTTGGATCGCACTAGTGATGGGAATTCCGGCTTTTTTTAGGGAACCGGCTCTTTCGGCTCCCAACCGGCTCTTCAGGTTGTTTTGTTGCTTTAATTAATTTATTATCAACAACAATATAAAATGATGCCCAAAAGGAATTACTAATGTAAAAAAAACAAACATGTTTTTTAATATATGTTTATATATAAATATAAAAGCACAAGCAAAGTCCAAAACACATTTCTAGAGTTAACTGAACTTCCAAAACAGAGCTACCTAGATCACCTAAATTTACCCGTTACTACCACACACCAAATCCAGTCGTTGGTACTTCCTGGCTTGTGTAGCCACTAGGTAACAAAAGCACCCTGAAGCACTTCTGTTGTGTCTTGTACATGTTTTGGAGTTTGTACGGCTTTGTCTCTAGGTGCCACCGTAAATATACTTTTATTCATTCACTCCACATAAAATGTAATAAATTAATTATCCATCCATCCATTCGCTTCCGCTTATCCTTTTCAGGGTCGCGGGGGGCGCTGGAGCCTATCCCAGCTGTCATAGGGCGAGAGGCAGGGTACACCCTGGACAGGTCGCCAGTCTGTCGCAGGGCTAACACACAGGGACAAACAACCATTCACACTCACATTCACACCTAGTGGCAATTTGGATTATCCAATGAACCTATCCCCACAAGCTGCATGTCTTTGGACGGTGGGAGGAAGCCGGAGTACCCGGAGGGAACCCACGCAAACACGGGGGGAGAACATGCAAACTCCACACAGAAAGACCCCGGCCTGATGTTGGAATTGACCTCAGGACCTTCTTGCTGTGCGGCAACAGTGCTAACCACCGTGCCATAAATTAATTATATAATACAAAAAACAACTATTTACTTTTCAACTTTTAACTATTTAATATTTCAGCTTTTTCCTTTTAAACAAATTTAAAGTGAAACAACACAAAACACTGCAAACCACAACACAATTAAATATAAATGAAAATATGAAAACAAAAAGAAGATGCACATTCTCTGTCATATGGGGCTGCATGAATAAACTTTCTGAATCCTTTATCATCTGCAACTGAAAATAGTTGTGTATGATTACTATACCTTTGTAATGTTGTTGTCCCTGCCTCTCTTTTCTCTCTCTCCCTCCCGCTCTGTTCCTGTGCTACTGCCAGTGTAACTATCGCCCCTCCCCCCTCTGCTCAGTGCAAGCACAAGGCTCGCGTGCGGAGTGAAGTGGAAAAAAGGGCGAGAGAGGGCGAGAGAAGGAAAAACCCCATAGTTCCCAATAAGGAGTCAGCTCGCGTTGTTCACTTCAAAGAGTCGGCTCTAAGAGCCGTTTCGTTCACAACCGACACATCACTAGATCACACCACTGACTCCGTTAAAATCATGTGGCCACACCTCACCAGAGCTCCACTATATGTCTGTCCCTCACATGTTAAATGTTAGCCCAGATGCTTTTCTGTCTCAGAAACTGATAAAACACACAAGGTCTTTGAGACCTTTTTTCAAAAGTCTTTCTGTTCATAAGCAATACTGTATTTTTGGAGTAAACATATGAATAAAGCATCTACAGTTGTTGTCAGACGTCTTTTTCCACTCATTGTAATGTCAGAGTAATTTTGGACTTTTAATGATGTATTTGGCCTGTTCTTTTCCCTGGCTGCAATGATTGTACACTATACATCTTTAAATGTATTTTCTCTGTTCCACACACGTGCAAAGTCAAATACTTTAATATTTAAGTATGAGCCCAATGAGCTGAATGACTTCCGACCGGTGGCACTGA